TGGGAATCCAGCGACATAGCCATTAGGTTAACTGCTGGTACTGCAAGTAATTCTTTTTTTAATAATTATTTTACTTAACTTTATTTATTATTATTATTTTCCAGTTTGATCAGAGAGACAGAGAGAGAGGAAAAGTGAGAAAGCAAGTCACCAAATCCGGGACTCAAACTGCAGTCGGTCATGTGGGAGTCCAGTGCCTTTAACCACCATGCCACCTGCCGGCTCCAATAAAGTAATTCTTTTTTAAAATTTTTTAAAAAATGTTTTGTTTTTATTTCAAGTTCTTTTATACATTGGTTCACATTATTTATCTTGCAAAGTGAGTATTCCAACCTGTGTGCATTTCTCCCCAGTCCAGTTGCTAATACTATGAACTTATCTTCAACAGATAACACCCCATTTCCTTGTCCCTTTAATGCCTTGCTTCTCACTTTTCTAAATGTCCTTCCTCAGACTCTCCTCCTTCACCCACGCTCTCCCCACGCTACACCTGGTATTCACAACAAGATATATGGAACGCTTTGTGAACGTGCGTGTCACCCTCGCGCAGGGGCCATGCTGATCTCTGTGTCGTTCCAATTTTAGTATGTGCGCTGCCCAAGCGAGCGCAAGCAATTCTTAAAATATAAAATAAAATACACAGCAAACTCACCACCAGGGAATGAGGGGGTGGCGGGGGGGCGCATTTAATGAGATAACCATGGAAAATATTTAGCACAAAGCCTGGCAAAGCATGAGTGTAGTACACGGCTGTTTTTTGTTTTGTTTTGGTTTTGGTTTTTTTTTAAGATTTTTTTGCTATATGTGCGCGTGCGTCCACCAGAGGGACAGAAAGCAAGAAATCACCCTCCAGGGTTTGGCCATGGCGCAGTCCCTTCTCCATTCTCCTCTCGGGATCTTGGGCACACACACATAAGCACCTGGCGTGACTTTTAAGCCGCAGGGGCCAGGACTTGAGCGACGTCTGCAACGGGGTAGTCCAGCGACGTAACCATTACGCCACCTGCTGGTCCCCACGTTAATTATTGTTATCTAACGGAAAAAGCACAAGAGCTGCCACAGTCGGGAAGGGTCCGGGCAGAGGCGCCGCTCCAGGAGCACGCATGGTGAGGCAGGGAACAGATAGCTGCAGGGATGGAAAGAGGGACCCCAGGGAGGAAGGGGTGCTCACCCAGCACCTGGTCCCCCAGTTAATGAGGGGCGGTCCGTCCTCCGCCCCCAGGAGAGCATATATTTGCATGAGGCCCCTCATCTGCTGGCATCCCAGGCAATTTGCATATAGAGGCAGCTGGGCCCACCCCATAGGTCTCTCCTCCCGCTTGGCTTGGAGCCTGGGGGAAGCGGAGAGGGAGTGATTCAGGCAGTCTGGAGCTCCTGCAAGTTCCTAGCAGACTTCCCTCAGTCATCAACTTTCACACACACACACCTACTGCTCCCTCTCCCACTGGGGTTCTCCCCACTGAAACAAAGCTTGCCTGCCCTTCAGAGCCTGGGCATCCTGACGGATTCTTTTTTTTTTGGAGAGGTTTTTGTTATAGGGCGCATGCACTCACCAGACAAACAGAGACAGAGAGACAGAAAGCGAGAAATCACCCCGCAGGGGGTATGGCCATGCCACAGTCCCTTCTCCTCCATTCTCTTCTCGGGATCTTGGGCACGCACGCACACGTGCCTGGCGTGAGTTTCAAGCCACCGGGTCTGGGACTCGAACCGCAGTCGACTACATGGGAGTCCAGCGACAAAGCTATTACGCCAACTGCTGGTCCCCATCTTGAAGGATTCTAAAAAGCTTTCCTCGCACATACTTCTCCTGCTCTTGGGACTACATGGGAATCTGTGCCTGTTCTGACGACGTAAGTGTAAACTCGGTGTCAGATTTCATTAGGAAGCCCATGTTTGGTTACAAATGACCAAAAAAAAAAAATGTTTTTAATGTCTAAAGTTGGTATAGGCAGGGCCAGCAGTGGTGAACTGGTTAAGGCGACTGGATCCCACATAGCCAAGCCTGTGGTTCAAGCCCCAGACCCAGAGACTTGAAAAACATGCTGAGGGTGTGTGTGCATGCCCAAAATCACAAAAGGAGAAGTGGAAGAGAAGGGATTGTGGCATCGCCATTCCCCGCGGGTGGTGCTTTCTCACTTTCTCTGTCTGTCTCACTCTAGCAAGCACACACACCCTCTGGCAAATTTAAAAAAAAAAAAATTGGGTAGGTAAAAGGGGAAAATTGAGTGGGTTCCATGGTACCGCAGTAATGCACTGCTCAAGAAATGAGGCCGCTCAGCCTCCTCTGCTTGTCAGTCTACATTCTGGAAGCCACATGCTGACCAGGGTTCAAGTCCCCAGCCCAGTTGTCCTGAAAACATGCTGAACACACGCTCACATGGCGGGATCCTGGCGCAGGACTGGAGGAAGTGGTCATGGTGTAGCCAGGTCCTATGAAGGGTACTCAGCTAGTTCTCTTGCCTCCAGGCGTAAGGGAATGTGCCTTATCAGGAATAAAGATATATACTTATTTATATAATTTAAAACTTTTTAAATTTAAATTATTTAATTATATTTATTCATTTATTGATTTTAATTCGACCAAAGAGAGAGACACACACACATAGAAAGAGAGGGAAAGTGAGAAAGCAAGCCACCAGGTCTGGGACTCGAACTATAGTCGGCCATGTGAGAGTGCCCAGCACCTTAACCACCAAACCACTTGCTGGTTCCTTTTATTTATTTATTTAAATTATTTATCTAATTGTATTTATTCATTCATTTATTTTAATTTGACAAAGAGAGACAGAAAGAGAGAGAGAAGGAAAGTGAGAAAGCAAACCACCAGGTCAGGGACCCAAACTGTGGTCGGCTATGTGGGAATATCCAGTGCCTTAACCACCACGCCACCTGCTGGTACTCCTTTTATTTATTTTTTATAAGAGATTTTTCCCTTAGGGTGTGTGTGCTCTCCAGAGAGAGAGACAGAGACAGGGAGAGGGAAAGGAAAATTACCCCTTGGGGGGGATGACCACACCTCAATCCCTTCTCCTCCATTCTCCTCCAGGGATCTTGAGCATACACACATACATACCTGGCATCATTTTCAAGTCACCAGGTCTGGGACTCTAACTGTAGTCGGCCATGTGGGAGTCCACCCATGGAAGCGCTCATCATCTGCTGGCCCCGTTATTTATTCATTTGAATTCACCAAAGAGGGACAGTGAGAGACAGAAAGCGAGAAAGCCAGCTGCCAGGTCCAGAACTTGAGCCAGTCAGGTCTGTGGGAATCCACCGCCTTAACCACCACGCCACCTGCCTGTCTCAAATAAAGATACATTTTTTTTTTGAGAGGTTTTTTTTTCACTATAGGGCGTGTGCGCTCGCCAGACAGACAGAGAGAGACAGAGAGACAGAAAGCGAGAAATCACCCCCCAGGGGGGATGGTCACGCCTCAATCCCTTCTCCTCCATTCTCCTCCCGGGATCTTGGGCACGCACGCACACGCGCCCGGCGTGAGTAAATAAAGATACATTTTTTAAAAATGTAAAAAGGAGAATTGAAACTAGTCAAGTAGTGCAGTGGTAAGGTACTGTTCAGGTGAAGGTACAGAGGGTTCTATCCCCCAGTCAACCTGCGTACGCTGGCTCAGGCCCCATGACCCTGGCTGGCTGGGAAGGCTGGGGCACAGAGCCTATGGAGGGCACTTCTCTCTCCCTCTCCCTCTCACACTCTTTTTTAAAAATGTAAAAAGGAGAATTGAAACTAGTCAAGTAGTGCAGTGGTAAGGTACTGTTCAGGTGAAGGTACAGAGGGTTCTATCCCCCAGTCAACCTGCGTACGCTGGCTCAGGCCCCATGACCCTGGCTGGCTGGGAAGGCTGGGGCACAGAGCCTATGGAGGGCACTTCTCTCTCCCTCTCCCTCTCACTCTCACACTTACTCACATGAAAGAAAGAAAGCCATGGGGCCAGCAGGGTGGAGGAGAAAGCACCCCGCAGTGGGCATGATCACACCACAATCCCTTCTCTTCCATTTCTCTGTCCTGTCAGGATTTGGGGCATGCATACACATGCTGCATTTTTCTTTTCTTTTTCTTAATTTAAGAATTCATTTATTTAACTTTATTTCTTATCATTATTATTATTATTTGATCAGAGAAAGAGAGAGAAAGTGAGAAAGCTAGCTGCCAAGTCTGGGACTCAAACCATAGTCAGCCATGTGGGAGTCCAGCGTCCTTAACTACCACGCCACCTGCCAGCCTCCACACACTGTGTTTTTCAAGCCACTGGGACCAGGACTCACGGCTGGCCATGGGATCCGACTCTACACAGTGCCCGTTCCGCTGTGCTACAGGGCTGGCCCGAACTTTTTCTAAGAGGAAATTATTCAGTCATATAATGGCAAGTTCAAGGGCTGAGTATGTTTGGGTGTAGCTGGATCCAGGGGCTCAAAAGTCTCATTAGAAAACTGTCTTTGAGAGGACCAGCAGTTGGCGTAATGGCTATGTCGCTAAACTCCCACTTAGTCGATGGCGGTTCGAACCCCAGACCCAGTGGCATAAAGTCATGCCGGGCGCATGTGCATGCATGCCCAAGATCCTGAGAGGAGAATGGAGGAGAAGGGATTGCGATGTGGCCATTCCCTCTGGGGGGTGATTTCTCACCTTCTGTCTCTCTTTCTCTCTCTGTCTTTCTGGCAAGCCCACATGCCCTAAAGCAAAAACAAAACAAAACAAAAAACCAACTTCTCCAAAAGAAAACTGTCTTTGGGGCCAGCAGATGGCGTGGAAGTTAAGGGGCTGGATCCCACATGACCAAGCACCCAGTTTTAGTCCTGGAGATGGCAGCTTGAAAATCATGCTGGTACACTTTTGCGTGTGTACCAAAATCCCAAGAGGAAGCTGGAGGAGAAGGAATTGCTGCATGGCCACCACCTCCTCGGGGGGTATTTTTCACTTTCCTTCTCACTGTCTCTGACTCTCTGTCACTCTCTAGTGAACACACATGCCCTATAGCAAAAACTCTAACAGATAAATGGAGGGGCCAGCAGGTTGTGTGGTGATTAAGGGCACTGGATTCTAACATGACCAACTGCGGTTCGAGTCCCAGACCTGGCAGCTTGCTTTCTCACTTTCCATCTCTCTCTCTCTTACTCTATCCCTACTGATCGAATTAAAATAAAAATAAAGTTAAATAAAATCATTCTTTTAAAAATTTTAAATTAAAAAAATAAATAAATAAACCAAAATTAAAAACGACCGTACTTGGGGCCAGCAGGTGGCATGGTAGTTAAGGCACTGAATTTTTTTCTTTTTTGTGGGGGAGGGAGAGAGGGTTTTTGTTTGTTTGTTTGTTTGTTTGTTTTTGCTATAGGGCATGTGGGCTTGGCAGAAAGACAGAGAGAGACAGAAAGCGAGAAATCACCCCCCGGGGGGATGGCCACGCTGCAATCCCTTCTCCTCCATTCTCTTCTCGGGATCTTGGGCACGCATACACACACACACACACACACACACGGCATGTTTAAGCCACCAGGTCTGGAACTCAAACAGTGGTCGACTGCATGGGAGTCCAGTGACATAGTCATTATGCCAACCGCTGTCCCAAGGCGCTGCATATAAGGCATCAATGATTGTGGTTCAAGTCTGAGACCTGGCAGCGTGCTTTCTCATCCCCGGCACCTCCCTCGGTGTGTCTCTCTCTGGTCAAATTTGTAAATATTGGGTTGTTTGGAAAGTCATGACACATTTTTGTGTCGAAAACCAGAAAAACACACATGGCTTTTTAGATGACCCAATAATACTAATAAATACAATTAAATAAAATAATTCTATTATAAAAACGAAAGTACCTGTCCTTCTCCGTTTCCAAGCTCTGCTCTCTTCAACGCAGACACACCTTTTGTCCAGGGTGTCACCCACAGCAACAGACTAGCAGCCCCCATCAAAGGAGGGGTCCCTTCCCCTTAGTTCAAGCAGGAGTCTCAGGGCCAATTCTCATTGATCCAGGAACGGGTCCCACCCTCATCCCTGAACCAATGCCTGTGAGGGGGGTGACCCAATGCTCTGGCCAGCCTGGGTCAGCCTCACTTGGAAACTTAATTACTGGAGGGATTCCTGGGGAGGACGGAGGGGCTGCAGCTGGAAGAAGGCAGAGAGGTTGCTGGGCAAGTTAAATACTTGGCATGGACGTCAGCTCCATGGCCCCATCGGGAAGGCTTCGGCACTGTGTGCCTCCCTCCAAGTGGCTATGGCTCTTCAGTGAAGTGCCATCTCTGGGACTCCTTGACACTTCAAGTCAACTCCCCAGGCGGGGACCCACCCAGTCATTTGTCAACAGTGGCCATGCTCAGCCTTACACATGCGCCCTGGGGGTGAGACTCCAGAACGGAAAGTGAGACTTTTCTTAAGTAAGAGAGAGGATGCACCCCTAACAGAGTCTTGATGCCACGATCCACCGCAGCCTCAGCCAGCCCCGGATCACGCGGGCCAGCTAGCAGAGCCTGGCATCTTCCCGTGCCACACTATCCCATAAGCCTATACCATAGGGACTTCCTGGGCTCACCCCTGCAGGTAAAGACCAGCCAAGACAGCCGATCCCTATAGAGCCAGGTCAGGAGAGCTGCTGTGGGGTCTTCCTGGAAAACGACTCCCCAGGGACTAGTTACTGTCCGCAAAGGAGAAGTGGGGGCCTGGGATCTGCAAGGCTGGAACTGAAACCCAGAGGTGCCAACCCTCCAGAAGGAGAGAGGGGTCCAGAGCACATTTCTGAAGCACCTGTTTGTCACGCTGACATCACAGCGGACCTGCCTCAAGCCTGAGAGACCATTACCTGGAGGGCGCCAGGTGCCGAGGGCAAGGGTATAGACTGCCCAAGTTCAAAGGCCAACCGGCAACTTCCAGGCGGGTGCCCCGGTTTACATGTAGTAGATAGGGACCAGGATCATATCCCCTTATGGGAATGTGCTCCCTGGTATGGGGCGCACGTGCTCACTGGAGAAAAAGAGGGAAAGCAAGAAAGAGCCCCCCTCCTGGGGCGGAGGGCGGTGGACCCCACAATCTTTTTCCTCCATTCTCCTCTCAGGAGTTTGGGTACAACTGTGAGCACCTGCACACACGCGTGTGCACACACACACACACATCCCAGGGGTGCTTTATAAAATTATTTATTTAATTCCATTTGTTATTATTTTTTTAATTTGACCAAAGAGAGACAGAGAAAGGGAAAGTGAGAAAGCAAGCTGCCAGGTCTGGGACTCGAACCACAGTCAGCCATGTGGGAATCCAGTGCCCTTAACCACCATGCCACCTATTGGCCCCCTGGGGTGGTGTTTTGTTTTTGTTTTTGTTTTTGTTTTGGAAAGGTTTTTGCTATAGGGCGAGTGCGCTTACCAGACAGACAGAGAGAGACAGAGAGACAGAAAGCGAGAAATCGCCCCCCAGGGAGGATGGCCACCCCACAATCCCTTCTCCTCCATTCTCCTCTTGGGATCTTGGGCACACACACACATGCGCCTGGCATGAGTTTAAGCCACCGGGTCCAGGACTTGAACTGCGGTCGACTATGTGGGAGTCCAGAGACATAGCCATTATGCTAACTGCTGGTCCCCTCTGGGGTGTTTTTTAAGTGGACATGCAGTCAGCCCTATGCTAACTGCTGGTCCCCTCTGGGGTGTTTAAGTGGACATGCAGTCAGCCATGTGGGATCCAGCCGCTGCCACTCTGAATTGTGACTCAGGGCCAAGTTACTCCACCTCTCTGTGCCTCGATCTCTCATCAGAGGGGGCTGTGGGCTACCTGAGATACCTCCGGCCCACCCATCAGTGCCTGGCACGCACTGCGGACTTTTAAACACACTTAAGAATAGGCTCACCACCAAGACTTGGATACTTGAGGCCCTGACCTTCCGGAGAAGAGAGCCCAAGTGTGTGGCAGGTGGGAAGGGAGGACAGGAAGCCCTCGAGCACCTGCCCCAGCTAAAGTCCTCCTCGTCCAGAAGCTTAAACGGAGGGTGGGACTTCGGGCTCTCAGTGCAGTGGCACCCCTGCCTCTGCCCTCCCGCTTCCCGCCCTCACCAGCTCCCCCGGGCAGCCCAAGGAATGTGAAGAGGTAGGTGGGGGTGGGGAGGAGCAGGAGCCGCAGGGCCAAGAGACAAAGGGGCCGAGTCAGAGCGAGACACAAAGACGCGAGGAAGCTGGGGAGATAGGGGAAAGTGGGACAAGGACGTGGGGAGGGACTAGCGGGGTCGGAGGCTGGACCCTATTCCAGCCCCACCCAGGCCGGCCAGGCTAAGGTAACCCGGGAACCGGTCTGTGCTGCCCCCTGGCGGGCAGCCGTGGTGAGGAGGCGGCGGGGGACTCGGTATGGTTAAGAGAATGAGCGGGCGTGGGGTAGGGGGGAGACACAGGAGAGCAGAGGCCGGGACAGAGACATCGAGCGAGAGACAGAGAGAAACAAGAGACACTGGAGACATGTACGGGCAGGGAGATAGGGAAACACAGAAACAGAAGTAGAAAGAATCAGAAACAGTCAAAGGGAGAGAAAGAGACGCGAGACCAGAAACAGCAACACCAAGGGTAAAAGGCCGGAAAGGCCCAGAGATAAGAGAAACATAGGAGACCCGAAGATAGTTGAGAGAGGCACATGAAGACCTTAAGAGAAAGAAATTGGGACCTGTAGTGGCGTGGTGGTTAAGGCGCTGGATTCCTACGTGGTTAATCAGAGTTTGAGTCCCAGACCTGGAGGCTTGCTTTCTCACTTTCATTTTCTCTCTCTCTCTGCCTCTCTCTGGTCAAACTGAAAAATAAATAAAATTAAATAAATAATTCTTCTTTAAAGAAACAGAAATCTGTTGTAGAAAGAAACCTTGCAGTAGCAGCCAGGATCCAGGACCTACAGGAGACGCGAGAGTCGAGACCTGGGGACGTCGCAGGTCTGGACGGGCGTAGAGGTGGGCACTTAACATGGGGCAGGGCTCCGCCTATGAGCACCCACGTGCCTCACGCCAGTGTGACCAAAGGGCCCTGACTCTGCTGACCAGGGCTGGACACAAGCTGTGGGTCAAGTGCGGCCGAGGACAAGCGGGTCAGGGTTCCTAGGAAGAGGCGGCGCAGACTCCGCTCGGAGGGGGGGGCGGAGCCTTGGGGGCGGGGCATCCAGGGGCGGGACCTCATGGGGCGGAGTCTCCGGAGCCTCCGAAAGGGGCGTGGCAGAACCTCGGTGGAGAGGCCAGTAGACTGGGGGCGGGGTGCGGAGGGGGGGGCCTCCTCGCCACGAGGGGGCGTGGGCAGAATCCTTAGGGGCCGGGGCGTTA